ATGCATATGTATTAGTCATATGCACAAAAACACACACACACACACACATACACGTGTGTGTGTGTGTATATGTATACTGGCTTGGCCAAGCTATATTTTGTTTTCCTTAATGCCATGTGTTTGAACATCAATTCCACACCAAGATCTTTATAGATACTATGTGTTTTTTTTTCCATTTCCCTGTTACTTCTTTTAATACCATGAGAAGTAAATGCTTGAGCATACTGTCTATTTTAACACCTTGAGTTGTTTGTGCCTGGTTTCCTAACTTATGAAGCCAGAGGTTCCTGGGACTCAGTTCAGTTCAATTCAGTTGCTCAGTCAAGTCTGACTCTTTGCATCTCCATGGACTGCAGCACGCCAAGCTTCCCTGTCCATCACCAACTCCTGGAGATTACTCAAATTCATGTCCACTAAGTCAGTTATGCCATCTAACCACCTCATCCTCTGTCATCCCCTTCTCCTCCTGCCTTCAGTCTTTCCCATCATCAGGGTCTTTTCAAATGAGTCAGTTCACATCAGATGGCCAAAGTATTGGAGTTTCAGCTTCAGCATCAGTCCTTCCAATGACTATTCAGGACTGATTTCCTTTAGGATGGACTGGTTGGATCTCCTTATAGTCCAAGAGACTCTCAAGAGTCTTCTCCAACACCACAGTTCAAAAGGATCAATTCTTCGGCACTCAATTTTCTTTATAGTCCAACTCTCACATCCATACATGACTACTGGAAAGACCATAGCTTTGACTAGACAGACCTTTGTTGGCAACATATAATTTTGTGATTGCAACATAAACTTTTAAATATGACTGATAACATTGTGCCAGAACATATCAGATGTCTAAAATATCATATCATATAACTTCTTGAATATGTCCATATATATGGGTATACATTATATACTATTATATGCATATGTGTATATACAAATTAAACATAAACAATGCAAACAAGTCTTAGTATTACTTCTTATTTGGCAATTCTTTCCATGCAATTTAATATATCAGCCTAATTAGTCTAACTTTTCTATTTTTCTAAGGTGAGAGATTTTTTTTTCTTTTTTCTTTTCAATTTTACATGAGATTAATGAAAAATACCAAAGTTAATTTATGTTCAACAGAACTTTGCTTGGTGTTTGAGTTTGAAAAATTGGTCAAGAATTGTTAAAAGGTTTTAAAACACTTGGTCAAGTAGAATTATAGATCACTGTGAAAAAAAAACTTACCTCTCATTTTAACCATAGTGAAAATTAAAGATTTTGTAGGCAAATACACTGTTAAATATCTGTTTTTAAGAAAACATATCTCTTTCAACAAAGAAGACTGAGTTGTTGTTTCTTTTTTAATTACACAAAGACCTACTAAGGACAACATAGGAAATTAATTTGATATAATGCTAAATCCTCATTTTCTAGGCAGTTACTTAAAAAGTAAATAAAATTCTTTCCAGTTTCTTTTAAGGGCAGAACAAAATATATTGTGTCAGGACGAAAAATAGATTGATGTCTCCTGATTCCTATTACTCACTACCTGAAATGGTAAGAAATATGGAATGCACATGCTTGCTTGCTTCCACATTTCCTTAGGATATTTTCAATGATAAAAACTGACACTCCCATAATTTTGTTGCTTTTACATGATGCCGTCCCCTTTGTATTTGTTCAATCTACATTTCTCAAAGCATAGAGCATGTATACTTACATAGGCTCTCATATTTAGATAATAACCTTGCTTAATTATTACTCTGTTGCCATCTTGAAATTCTTAATTTTATCACTGAGTACACACATGAGCAGAGGATCTATACTGGGTGGCATTAGTATGCAGTTTCAGTCCAGCAGCAGGACTTGTACACAGAGGGGCAAACAACATGGACATGAGGCAACATGCCTGGCTTCCCCATGTCCACACATGCATTAGTGTTCAAGGCACTACAGGACCCCAGGGGAGTGGCTGGGTGGAGCTTGAACCCAGATTGGTGGTAGTGATGACAGCAGCAAATACAGATACAACAAAGGTGAATAGGCTACTGCCTAGAATGGTGAATAGGTCACGGCCTAGGAGAGGGGAGATTTGCTTGGCAGGAGAAATGGCTCTTAGGGAAATGGGGAACTGATTTATCTTTCCATTCAGTGTTAATCCCTGTGTCATATACTAAATTATTAATAATCTCACTCAAGTGTCAGAACAGGAAATGATAGGCTTAGGGAATAAACTTTTCCAATAAATACTTATAAATGTGTACAAATGATCATTACAAAAGAGCATATCATGGAATTATTATCAAAGTATAAAATATATGGTTTTAAAAACTGTTGAAATATTGTAACACAGATATCCACAGGCTTATAAATAATATTTAAAGTTTATTTAAAGATTTAAAATTAATTTGAAAGATCAGGGATGGAAAAGAATACCAGTTTCATGTAAACTTTCAGAAAACAATTATTAAAACTTTTTTAAAATTAATTTTCTTTATACTTGAATATGTAGTGATAAAATGAATGAGCAGATAATTGAAACATCATTGGTATACAAAGTCAACTAATTATGAGAAATTGAAGATGAATCATTAAAATGCCATTGACTAAATTTATACTTAAGGTTAAATTTACACTTGTATAAAATAGATTTGCATTGATTGATGTTTTGAAGTTGATTCATAAGATAAATACTTTTAGAAAGCATTTCTTCTCCTTGTGAATCATCAGATATGTGCATACTAGAATTTGTAGTTAATACAATTTATCAAAAATTCAGCCCAATATTCTCCTGAACTATGAGGACTCCTAATAGCTCCAGTAACATAAGCAGAAAGAATCTTTTAAAATTTAAATATTAAAAACCATCAAAAATTAATTGAAAACATTTATCACTGGATGCTGAAAACACTTCACAATTTCTAAAACTTTAAATTTGGTGAAAGCAAAGTTGAAAGGATTGATGCTATATGTATATAGTTTTGACACACAATGTTTTTGGAAAGTGTAATTTCATTTCACACCTAATGAATTAATTTTGAAGAAAAAAACTATATTTGAGCAGCAATAATCAAACATTTTTTTTTTCTGATTTTTGAGCAAAAGTCCTCATATGTTTATTTTGGGCTTTGCCCTTCATATTATGTAGAATACGAACATTTCCTTCTTTGCCACATGTGAGAAGTTAAGAGCATTTCTTCATTGATCACTAATGGATAACAATTTATGTAGGAAATTTACTTGAACTGATGAATTTTTGTTGATACAGCACTGAGTCCTGTTTAAAAAAGTGGTTGTCACCTTATGAATGAGTAAAATTGGTTTACAAAGTTAATTTTCCCAGTAAAGCTATGAAATGTAGTGAGTAGAGAAGAAAATCTCATTTGAGAGAAGTTATCTAATACAAGAGTTGTAGTGGCAACTTAGCAGGTAAACAGTATGGTTTGAGAGCGGTAGCTGTTTGCATGAATTTCCCCTACAGTTCTAATTTCCACTAATGAGACTAAATGTTGACCCACTTGTATAATTATCTTAGCAATTTACTTGATTTCTTGTGGCACTTTTAAGGCCTATGTTGATTTCCAGATATACCTGATATGGAGGATGCACCACCTTAAAATTAACTTAAGCTTCTCATTTTCCATTCAGAGTGATATAAGGACTTCAGAATCCCTGAGGAAGTCTCAGCTAAATCTCTCACAGGAAGTTTCCCTATAGTAAAATTAAGAAAAAATGTTACTAGTAATTATGGTTATACTATGAGAAGAAAAAAAGTATTCTGTCTTTTAGTTGTATCTAGGCATTCAGAAAATATGTTTCAGACCTATTGAAAAGTGTATTGAAAACAGTAGAACTATTATGGTGACTCTGTTATTCAGTTAATTTACATGTCCGCTACTAAATGACAGAGAATCTCTCTAGTTGACAGCTTATCAACAAAATATAAATGCATTTGAAATTGATTTTAAAAAAAGAAGAAATAGGAATAAGATTTTTCAGGATATGTGTTATTTTATTCTCCTCTCAGTACAGTTCAGTTGCTCAGTCCTGTCTGACTTTTTGCAGCCTCATGAACTGCAGCACACCAGGCTTCCCTGTCCATCACCAACTCCAGGAGCTTACTCAAACTCATGTCCATTGAGTCGGTGATGCCATCCAACCATCTTATCCTCTGTCGTCCCCTTCTCCTCCCTCCTTCAATATTTCCCAGCATCAGAGTCTTTTCCAATGAGTCAGTTCTTCTCATCAGGTGGTCAAAGTATTGGAGTTTCACCTTCAACATCAATACTTCCAATGAATATTGGGGACCGATTTCCTCTAGGATAGACTGGTTGTATTTCCTTGCAGTCCAAGGGACTCTCAAGAGTGCTCTCCAACACCACAGTTCAAAGGCATCAATTCTTCAGTGCTCAGCTTCCTTTACAGTCCAACTCTCACATACATGCATGACTACTGGAAAAAACCATAGCTTTGACTAGACAGAGCTTTGTTGGAAAAGTAATGTCTCTGCTTTTTAATATACTGTCTAGGTTGGTAATAGCTATTCTTCCAAGGAGCAAGTGTCTTTTAATTTTATGGCTGCAGTTACCATCTGCAGTGACTTTGGAACCCAGAAAAATAAAGTCGGTCACTGTTTGCATTGTTTCCCCATCTATTTGCCATGGAGTGATGGAACTGGATGCCATGATCTTAGTTTTCTGAATGCTGAGTTTTAAGTCAATTTTTTCACTCTCCTTTCTCACTTTCAGCAAGAGGCTCTTTAGTTCTTCTTAGCTTTCTTCCATAAGGGCAGTGTTATCTGCATATCTGAGATTAGTGATATTTCTCCTGGCAATCCTGATTTCACATTGTGTTCCATCCAGCCTGGCATTTCTCATGATATACTCTGCATAGAAGTTAAATAAGCAGGGTGATAATATACAGCCTTGACATACTCCTTTCCTGATTTGGAACCAATCTGTTGTTCCATGTCCAGTTCTAACTGTTTCTTCTTGACCTGCAAATATTTCTCAGGAGGCAGGTAAGGTGGCCTGGTATTCCCATCTCTTGAAGATTTTTCTACAGTTTGTTGTGATCCACACAGTCAATACGTGGAGCCTTTAGATTAGTTTTACTCTTTTCACTTAATAAAAATAATATTTTAATGACTATACAATTATAAATTGATTTGTATCCAATTCCTAGTATTCATGCAAAAATATTACCTACATTTTCACAGGGGAAATTCTCTGAGTTACTCTTCTCAGGGCCCCCATCACCTCCTTGTTTCTCAAGCTATATATAATAGGATTGAGCATTGGTGTGAAGATGGTATAAAAGAGAGCCAGAACCTTGTCCTCTGTTGGAGTACGCAGAAATCTTGGGCGTAGATACGTGTAAGCAAAAGGAGCATAGTAGAAAGAAACCACAGTGAGGTGGGTGCTGCAGGTTGAACAGGCCTTCTTCTTCCCTTCTGCTGAATTCATGCGATAGACAGCAAGGAGAACACGGCCATAGGAAAATGCAATACCAATAAAGGGCAACAAAAGGAAAAGTGTGGTGCTCAGAAACACTGTATATTCATAGACCGTTGTATCAGTACAGGCTATTGTCAACATGACTGTGACATCACAGAAGAAATGATTGATGGACCTGGATTGGCAATAAGGGATAGAGAGAATATATGTGGTGTGGGCACAGGAGTTGATAGAGCCCATTATCCAAGATCCTGTTATCATCAACATACACACTCTTTTGCTGATTCTGATGGGATAGTGAAGAGGAAAGCAAATGGCCACATAACGATCATAAGCCATAGAGGCCAAGAGCAATCCTTCTGCACCTGCCATAGTCAAGAAGAAGAAGCTCTGAATCCCACACCCAATGATGGAGATAGACTTGTTTGCAAACAGAAAATCATAGGCCATTTTGGGAACAGTGGTAGAGATATAGTTCAGGTCCATGAGGGAGAGCTGGCTAAGTAAAATATACATGGGCGTGTGAAGACGAATGTCCAGAAAGATGAGAAGAATCATGGAAAGGTTACCAACTAGAGCCATTAAGAAAATGAAAGCAATGAGAATGAAAAGGAACAGACCAGTTCTTGATGAAGAAAACAATCCCAATAAGATGAAATCAGCTGATGTTTGATTGTAATTTTCCATGAATCATTCATGTAATTTTTCCTAAAGGCAGACACAAGAGTGTATAATTCAAGTTTAAAACAATAAGATATGTTTATAGTACTATTTTAGTCAGGCTGAATGTTGTTTAAAGTTTTAAAACTCTGTAATAAAAAAACTGGAAATATCTATATTGGAAAGACACACATTTTTTATAAGCTAGAGATTTATGTTTGAAGATGCAAATACTTTTTGACAGAGTATTTTCAAGTAAATCTTTCAAGTTAAAAAAAGGTATTTATTGACACCATTAGGATAGGCATATTATACTGTACAAACTTAGGTAGTATCAAAATCATATGTTGTATTCAATGTGTATTCATAAGAAATTAATATAATAGCACATATATTTGACTTATATGCAGAGTACATCATGAGAAACGCTGGGCTGGAAGAAGCACAAGCTGGAATCAAGATTGTCAGGAGAAATATCAATAACTTCAGATATGCAGATGACACCACCCTTATGGCAGAAAGTGAAGAGGAACTAAAAAGCCTCTTGATGAAAGTGAAAGAGGAGAGTGAAAAAGTTGGCTTAAAGCT